CCAACGTTACTAGAACGCTAAGTTTGGAAATTCACCGTTGAAACCTGGGCGGCTGGTGCTCCCCGAGGCCAAGATAAATAGGATAACAGTGCCACCCTTAATCTTTTTTTCTTTACCGTGGCCACCTTGAGCTTTCAGAAAGCATGTTTTTGCGTAAAAAGAAACGGAAAAAAACTCTCTTTGTAGGAGCCTTTATTTTAGATTAGTGCGAAAAAACAGGCTCGTGATGTTTTCTACAATCTTTAGTTTACAAGGCTTTGCGGCACAATTAATATTGTGTTTATACAACCATCTATCAATGGTGATTTCAGGTAGCAGTTCCCACCTGGGCGAGTCCTAGTTTCGGAAGTAATACGCGGCGCGTCCGCTTGGGAGACGGGGGGTGGCACCCCTGAAACCACTTCCATCGAATATGTTTCGGCGCCATAATGGCCGACTAAAGCTAAACTAGAACCGTCACAGCGAACGCTGTCGAATGCCATCGTCATGAACCAACAGAAGCAGCCGGGCAGTTCCCCAAGCGGCCGCTGTGGGAAAATTGGCGGCCTTGCGACCGCCGTCAGCTCGGTTCTCGAGTACGGATGGGTGCCACATTTTTAGAGCAGGCCCTCTGGCAGTTTCCCAACTTAGTGGTTGTAGTAACGTTGGCACAAACTAATATGTTTTTCCGCTGATATCAAGAATCGCGACCTGCATGCAACACGCACGGCAGAGCTCTCCTCATTAGACCTTTATTAGTCTTGCCAATATTTTCCAGAATATTTGAGGGAGTTATACAAAGCCGATTATATCAGTTTCTTATAAAGCATGGTGTCATAAACAAATCTCAGTATGGCTTTCAAAAGGGCAAATCATCAGAGCAGGCACTTGTTGAGACGAAAGATAAAATAATATAAGACATGGAAAATAAATTATACACACTGGTAGTTTTTTAGACATTAACAAAGCTTTCGACACGATTCAACACCAATTTTTTTAAGTAAACTTCAACTGTACGGAATACGAGGAGTAGCTTTGGCTTTAATAAAACATTATCTAACAAATCGCCTTCAATTCGTCAAAGTTAACAAATCTCTCTCAACCATGTTGGAAGTAAAATAGGGTGTCCCCCAAGGTTCTATCCTAAGCCCCTTGTTGTTCCTCCTTTATATAAATGACATTACTGCTATTCCTAGATCTCTAGAACTGATTATATACACAGATGATACCAACGCATTTTTCGCCTCCGCCTCCAAAGCCTCCCTACAGTCAATGGCAAATAGCTATCTGGCTGAATTAGCAGTGTGGCTCCATAAAAATAAACTGCAACTTAATTCTAAGAAAACCAAGTATATAATTTTTGCTCCAATAAACAAACATGATAATGCTCCAATAACTCTATATTTCGAAAACGCAATTAGAGGACAAGTCCCCTAACCAAAAATCTTTTAGGCTTTTGGTTTAACCAGGAGCTTAGCTGGAATGCCCATGTAAATAAGTTGACTGCCGAGCTTTCTCAGGCAGTTGGATGTTTGTATAAAATAAGAAACCTGATCCCTACATGGTTAAAAAATATATATATTACTCTCTTTTTTACTCAAATTTATGCTACTGTATTTTAGTATGGGGGTACAACAACGCTCACAAACTACAATAAGATTCTTGAATTACAAAAGAAAATTTTGCGGTTATTTGAAAGTTACATGGGAAATATGCAAGCCCTTCGAACTGAGCCACTTTTTAAAAAAAACACGGTATACTCAAGACTAACCAAATTTATGATTTCAAGTTAATGCAATTAATCAAAACTGAGAAACTTTAGGATATGACTGCGAGTGATGTAGTGCATAAATATACCATTCGGCACTCTTTAAGACGACCTCCACAGATTCGAACAAATTACGGAAGCAAACTAAAGATTATCAGGTGACCAAATTATTGAATTCAATTGGGACCTTCGTGGATTTTATTAACTCCTTTTCAAAATTTAAAAAAGAGCTGTGGACACTCTTGGTAGGCAGTGACACTGTTCTATAGCCATCTTATACATGTCAAATTGATGGGTTTTTTCTCTGAACTTGTGAAAAAGTTTCTTTCATAATCTATATTACAAGTTGCGATCCTCTCTTGATGATGTATTATAAAGCCACGACATTACTTGAATCACTGATGCTTTATAGGTGCACGAGTGTATAGTGTACTGTGTACCGTGTGTACAAACTGCAAAGGGGACAGATACCTTCGTCAGGCATTTTCTCTTTTAGTCTGTGTTCCCCTTTCGGTTAATCCGAAAGAAATAAAAACTTCAATTCCTGAGCAAACGACGCTCGTGAGTTAATAGCGAAGGCGCAGTCTGATCTTTCTTTTGCTTTGTTTACCACACGATAGATCGCGCATGGCTGCCAGCATTATAAAATTCGGCAATTCCTGTGAAACCGTGAATTATGCTACAAAATGTGGATGACAAGATTCTTTAACAAAACTACTAGGTGCATTCGCCGGCTATTTATTTTTTATGATCGCGGTCCAATAAGCGACGTGGATTTGGCTGACGTGCTTTGGCACCGCGGAGGCATCTCAGCCAAAGGCAGAGAAGGTTTGAAGTATAGAAGATATAAAAGAGTCCGATTTTCTTTAAAAAGTTCAATGTCGAAAACATTTTTTTTCGCACCCTATTTTTGTATTTTAGTTTTCCTTTCACACATTTTACGACGTGCGGTGAATGAAATTAGATTTCAGAATTGTTTCATGATCCCTTTAAAATATGGCTGTCTTCTCTGTGGGAGGTGTGTGCTATATCAAAGTCCTCCAAGTATCTTCAAAGCCGAATACAACAGAAGTGCTGAGTAGTCGCTATTTGCCAAGATTCGGTTTGTTTTGTTGGAGTAAAGTTTCAGTAATTGTCTTTGTTGGACAAGCTTTTATGTGCATGATTTTTTTAATTCTTTGATTCATTCAAGTATCATGTTCTCTTCAAATGTAATGTTGTTTTCGTAGCAGGGTAATGGGCTGTTAATTTAGCAGGACATTTGACACTGGTGAGCTGAAGAGGGAGGACAGCTGTTTGATTCAGTACTTTAAAACAATACGGAGGCAATATGGGCCATTTAAAGCTACATCTTTCTTTGCCGATGATGCAATAGGTCATAAAACAGTTTTTTTTTAAATCAACACGGAAATATAGGTGTGAACCTAATTGGCGATAGCGTAATTAATATGTTGCAAGAGAAAGGCTAAGTAATTGATTGATTTACCTTCCTACTATATGATTAACTTCTTTAATCATTATCAATATGTTTATTTAGATAGGTTCAGTTCTAAGTTAGGACAAGTCGGGCGAACAATAGAACGGTAAACGCCTGGGCCGGCTTGCTAGAAACCGCGTCTCTGCTGAAAGTGTGGAAAGAAAGCACTTCCAAAGCCAGCGCACGAGCTGAGCGGGACTCAAACCACGTCTCAAGATTCTCGCGCGCCCCAACCTTTGGAGTGCTTTCTATCTCCCAGTCTCAGCTAAGACGCTGAATCAAGCAAGCCTGCCCAGGTGTATTACCTGCATATCTACTTATTTTAGAAGGCAGTACTGTTGTCTCCTAGTATACACATGTTTATAATATACAAAATTACGAAAATATATACCACCGGGTAAGAAAGTTCGAAAAATAAATAAAGAGAAAAGTCCGCAGACCTCTCTAAGATTTTAAACTTGAAGGGCGACTGAAGCGATTAATCAATTAGTTAATTAGAAGGCGGCGAATAATGAAGCTATATATTATTTTGATATTCATGATTGGCAAGCGTAAGAGAGAACTGACAGTGACTGAAGATAAAAAGGTAAAGGAATATTTCAAATTACAGTGGCACGAGGTATAGTTGGAGCTGACAAAAATCTGGCCTCTGAAACCCTAGCTTCATTTAAATTCAAGCTCCCTCCTTCTGTCTCATTTAGAACCCTGTGCCCAGCACCCTGGGTGGGATCCCATCAAGTTCCAGCCCGGTTAACAGGTTGCAGGGATGTAGCCAGGCACTCATTTTTGTTCTCCTGTTCCTTCCATCGAAATTACAAATAAAATGTATTTGCGGTATAATTTGCATTGAATACTTTCATATTTACCGGCATACAATACTGACTTAACGTTTTGCACAGCGAATATGGCTTGTCTGCTGCACATTTCTTTACAGATGTATTTATAGTGTTCTATTGAACACTATAGATACATCAGAATGGAAAGCTGTATGCCCACTAAAATGGCTGCCGAAAATAGTACAACCCGCTGTGGAAATCAGATGCCCAAATTGAAATAACCAGAGCATAGGGTGGGGAGCCAATATTGGATAAGCCAATGATTAAAGTTGAATGCCATTATTAGTTGTAAGACCCACAACCGACAGTGGTCTTGTGATGGTTTAGCTTATGGTTAAATTGCGGCCCAACGTTGGCTTAAATGTTGGTTAAATGACGGTCCAACGGTAGTATGAATGATGGCCCGATGTTGGTTTAAATAATGTTTTAATCGTGGCCCAACATTGGCATTAGTGAATGGTTCAACGTTGGATTGGGCAGCGCTTTCAAGAAAAACAACCTTAGGCCAATACTGCATCCAATTTTTGCCAGTGATGTGCCGATGTTGGTTCAACAATGATGTGCTGCTTTGGAGTCCTACTTTCAAAAATACAATAATTTAAAAACAAAAGGCACTCGCTTTTTTTACTGACTTGAGGTTAACATCATGAGACATCACGAAAAATAAATTTAACAAAAATAGCTGTAATGTGCATTTTTGCTTTCGCTCGCTTGGGAGGTTTTTATATGCATTGGTGTACGTCTAATTTAGAACGTTTTACATATGCGCCACATTGCAGACCAATGGTTGTTTACGGGAACGAAATTGAAGAAATAGTGATGATGACATTTATACTAAAAGAAAAATATATAAACGAAATAGCTACTGCCGAGCTTCTGCGTAAATAGAAGGTTATGAGTGGGCAACTCACGTCGAAAAAGGGCAACTTTTCCGCAAACAGACAATATCCCCAAACACCAAAATGTCAGGCTTCTGAAAAAGGCAACAACTGAAAAGCGGCGATTCCTAGAAAATAGAATCTAGCGAAAACGAAATTATGAACCATGCAACATAAGGTCACAATGTGTTTCTCTTTGCGACCTTTAACATAAACACAACAAAAAGCTGACAGTGAGTATATATTGAGAGGTTTCAAAACCCGAATCACTAGCTTTTGTGGTTACAGCGACAATGCGTTTCAGTTGCATTTTGGGCCTTTTAGCAATGTGCCTCGTTGGTAAGATTTATAGCCTCCAGTTATGTAGGGTTGTAATGAGTTCATTAGATTATGTCTAAAATATTCTAAATGAAAGTTTTTAATGTTTCGTTTATATTTATGCTAACTGCCTAAGATATCAATATAGAAAGAAAAACGTTTCCGAATGATATGATATCACAATTTCGAATAACGTCCTATAAATATGGCTAGCCTAGCCCCTATATTTTTAATCGCTCAATCACGTTTTGGTGATGAATACATTACGTAGCTTGAAAATGGTTAAATATAAAGTTTACTACTTCCACAAATGTGCTCCCCTAGCTCAAGGCCACAACAAAAATATACAGCTTTAGATCATTTACCATTATACTGTATCTTTGAGTTGCTTTAGTGATGTTAGTAGCATAAAAATTAATTTAGTCACCTCGGAGTTATGTATAGCAGTTAGTGGAAACAGTTATCGCGACCATTTATGATTTGCAAAATATATTTTTCTGCCATCATCGATAAGGACAGCCGATCAATTATTTGCGATGAAATTTAACTATAAATAATAAGTATGATAAGAGTAATTACAGAACGCAACGTTGAATGCACCAATACGCTACAAATAACGTTTTACAGAGTTATTTATATTTAGTAATTTTCATTAAGATTGTTGCTAATTGTGATCTGCGGGTGGTGTCACTGACTAGACAGCACAATTATAGCAGTTCTTACGTGGGTCCCAAAAAACTGTAACACATTTCTTACGTGTTTCGAGCGCCGGAATGAGAGCTACCAAAGGAGACGCTACTGTGTTACACCTTTGTTCTGGGCACACCATAATTTTGAGTTATCGGGATGTACTAAATGTAGCATTGCTCGAGCGAAGCAGGTTGTTGCGAGTCCTAAGAGATCTATGAACTCTCCACTGCAAGTCAGATTGCGGCATTAGCCGATAAAATGGCCAAATAACAAATATCAAAACGAGCAGACGAACAAAATCAGCGACACCCTGCGGTTTTTAAGCTAACACTGATTATAGGCTATCTAAAGCGACTTACTTCACTCAGCAGTGGTAATTTCACCTCAAATGCCGCCATGCTTGCGTTACGTGTGAGCTGCACACTGGCTGTCTTCTACCGGTGACATTGACTACCGGCGCCCAGGATGAAATCTTCCGAATGATTCTTAACTCAACCAAAATTCCCAAGGGCCAAAATCTACTATAAATACTTGGACGACTGGACGAGTTAATTCTTTCGCGCAATATTTATGATATCTTTTTGTTACAGCTAAGGCAGCTGAACCGGATTGCACAAAGAAATGGGTAAGAGAAGATACATTGTGTCGCTTAATTTCCTTTCCATCTCTTGAAACATAAAACTTAAACTAATGTAGCGATGCAGCCGAGTTGGTTCATGACAATGGAAAGTATAGATACAAAGCATAAAAAGAGGAAGACGTAGAGAAGAACAGATGACGGGAGGTGACTTCTAACTTAAACTGTAAATGCATTTTAGAGTTAAGAAATGGGTACATAACAAGTAATTCGAAAATGTACTTCTTGAGCGAATGCAAAAGTAGTCGAATTGTCGTCAAGCAAGTCGGCCACTTTGTGTAAAATTATGGCATAAGTGACAAGAAATCTTTTTTATTTGTCTTGCTATAACAACAAACATATACCCGCCGTATCAGTCATGTATTCAATTATACATTCAGGGCAATGACGGAGCTCGAAAAAAAAAGTTTTTTTTTTCTAATCGGTTTATGTATTAGAAAAACATATATTTGTACTTAGCTATTTATTGTGAGCACCCGCAATACTGTATCTGCGTTAGAAAAAAGATTAATAGTTGTATAAGAACGTCACACAATTAATTACTGAAATCGTTAATAAAAGCGTTGTAACTTATTCTTACAAATTAATCACTTCGTTTTTCTTTAAAAAAATGCATATAACCATATTTTGCATATAACCAGATTAAAAATGCATAAAACCATTAAAAAAATATAACCATATTTTGAAAGAAAAACAATTTTACTCGTGGTGAGTCCGTATTTTTTAAATCAAATTTAGAAGCATTCAAATGTCAACTTAACATTTGAAACTGACTCCTTGTTTTTTCTGGATGTCAGCTTGGGTACTTCAAATGTCACTACGCCGTCATAACCCTCTGCAAATATTGAGCCTTTTTCATTGTGGTTATACTTTGACGGCCATAATTATCAAACTTAATGTATTCTAAATTAAGAAACCTCATTCACTGTTTCGAGTTGATAAAAATTATAATAAAAGTAAAAAAGGAGAAAAAATAAATAAATAACATGTTTTTACAATTCTTTGTAATTCGAAATTAGACCGCATTTCTTGAGGATGAGGAATGGATGGCACGGAGGGAAGGGTGTGCCCCTTCTCCTCTTCCTCTTCCCTCCTCCTCCCCCAAATAAATTTCTCCCAAAAGTTTAGCGGGGAAAATGACGTCACATAACTCGGTGGCACGTCACCTATGCACAAAATTCAGTTGCTCCGCTAGATTTAGCGGGAAAATTAGCGTCACGTAAAATCAACACAAATTCAATTCCCTGCAAAATTTAGCTGGGAATCATTTTGGTGTTGAGGTCACTAACGTTAATTTTCCCGCTAAATCTCGCGGAGAAATTGGATTTGTCTGTTAAATCTAGAGGAGATACTGATTTTCCACGCTAGATTTAGCGGGGAATTGTATTAGCGATGAGATCAAGCGACGTCAATTCTCCGCCTATATTTAACGCGGTTACGCCGACGCCGACGCCGACGCCCACGCCGCCGCTGCGAAACACGGGAGCGGGTACCTAACAGCTGCGCTTTAATTCGTTTGACTTAAAGGGGCCGTGCAACAATGTTTGGAATACGGTCGATCAATCGTGGTAGTTGTACCTTGTCACGAACGGATTAAAGAGCTGAAAATAAATTTTGCCTACACACGTTTGTTCTTTAGAAAAAGAAAGAAAAGCTCGAGGTATACCTAAGTATTGCGTAGGAGTTGTGGCAGCGAAAGCATGCTTATGCGGTTTGTGCAGGTGGGTTATATGGCCAGGCGGACATTATGTGGCTGGCTAATCTTTGGGAGAAGTGGGCTAATTAATTAAAATTCGTTAATTAACCTTTTTAATTAGTGGAAATAGGCATATGGTTCTAATTAAAAACCTGCTGTGCGTCATCCAAAACCAGTCATTTTTAGAAAAAAACTTTCAGCATGTCAGAAGCGTAATAGTGCACTAAAGTTACCACTCGTGGAGCAGGTACAAGGCTAGCGGTTGCGGTAAGGCGCCCGCGCAATTTTTCCGTCTCATATCTAGCCCCAGCCTTGTACCTGCTCCACGGGTGGTAACTTTAGCACAACTGCGCTTCTCACGCGCTCAATGTTTTTTTTTTTTTTTAAGTGACTGATTTAGGGGTTTTGGGTGACGCTCAGCAAGTTTCTATTAGGAACCTTATGTCTATTTTCAGTAATTAAAAAGTTAATTAACAAATCTTAATTAATTAGACGACTTGTCCCAAAGATTAGCCACCCACATAATGTCCGCCTGGCCGTATAACCCCCCTGCACAAACCGCATTAGTGTAGCTTTCACGGGCCTTTTTTTTTTTAAACAAATGTGTAAGAATAAAAAAACACCCTATATATAATATATATATATATATATAGAGAGAGAGAGAGAATTTTTCTTTTAGGACATACACATTTTTTTAGGAAAGCCCGGAAAGCTACACTAGTGCTGTTTGTGCAGTTGAGTAATACGATTACGGTACAAAATATACGGGGCTAATCGTCAGAATAAGCCTCATAATTTACTCAAAATTGTTCATTAGCATTGTATCGAGTGAAAATAAACACATAGTTCCAATTATAATAGTTACAACTTGCAAAGCTTCATCAAAAACCACTAAATCAGTAAATTTAGAAAGCTTTGAGCGCATGGAATGAGCATTAGCTCACTAAATTTGCCAGTCGCGCAACAGCAAAAGAGAAAACACGGATAAGAGCAAAAGAAACCCCGCGAGAGCGTTATGGCTCAGGTGGCCTTGCTCCTGCAGCTCGAGTCGTACCTTTAGCGCTTCACCCTGCTTTCCCTGTGCTCTAAGCTCCTTTTACTTGTTTGATTTGGCGGTAACGTATTTTAATTAGTTATTCGACTTATCGTGACGTACATTTTCCTTTCATATGTCCCCCTGGCAATATAACTCACCTGCACAACACGCATTATTGTAAATTTCAAATTTCTTTTTAAACATATCTGGAAAGCCTAAAAACACCCTGTATAGTCATTTTGTACCCAGCATTAGTTGTCATTTTATTTCATTCTATACTCTAACGACCTAAGAAAGACTTGTTTAGAACGACATTTTGCTCTACCCTTTGTTGATATGGCGCAACAAAAGGCGTTTTTGCCTGAGAAGCAAAGATGTATATATGTATAAAACAAACTCCTCTGTTTTACTGATAAAGTCGAGAACTCATTTCCAATTTATGGCTCGCTTTGCTAGAGTTTAACTTTTCTCAATTAAATGAATTATTAATATGATTTATATGCGCACTATAATAGCCGTACACGTGATACTCTCAATTATATAATAGAGGCACTGTTAAAATAGATTAAATAGAATACCGCTGTTGAAATTGACCCATTGAGTTTGCAGTTCGGCGTGTCATTAAACACTAATATAAAATAATATTAATTAACTTAAAGTTTATAATCGGCTGCATATATAAGGCAGTTTGTAATTTTATTGTTCTTGCCAATTCATATTTGTTTACGAATATAAATACAATTTCTTTAGCCTTTCACATTTCTCTTTCAGCCAGTACTTTGGCCACCTTGTCTTTTTATTTGCCAACATGGAAGTTGGGGGCTTCATTCTTGGCCAAAATTTACCCTCGAGCATAAGTCGAACGGAACGTCTTGCAGGGTGCGTATAATTATTTTGGTATAAAACCGCCGAATGCACTGTCAGTATATTTGAAATATCTGTGACTATTCATAATAGACAAAATCATAAAATATTACTTCGCTACATTTCAAGTTCCTGCATTAAGATAGCTCCACCCAACTGATTATAATAGCTGTCAGGTTGAGAACGTAAGAGTGGTATACTTACTCTTGCTGCAAGCTTATTAGATTCGAGAACGCCTCGGCGTTTCGTGAGCCTCCAGTATGCACGCGCAGCCCAAGCATGGCGGAAGGCAACAAGCACGCGCCAGAAGCCGGGCATCCGAGAGGGACGCCCTGCAGTTCTTATCTTTCTGTTTTTGTAATAATAGTTCAGTTTCTGTTTTTTTTATATAAATATTAGGGCGGGTCTATAGCGTCTCTTGCGGTCAATGTCTCCAGAGAGCGCGAGCTTCATATTGATTTGTGAACATTACGCAAAACCCCTGCTAAGGAATTCTATTAGTCGTCCTACTTTTTGTATGTAAATTCATACGGACATTTTATTTACTCGGACCTTAGCTAAGTTGCTTTCCCATAGTTTTGTTTTGCGCATAGTTTCAAATTCTCTAGAAAAGATATCGAAAACTTTAAGGAAAGCTCGCGATCTTTTTTGAAAAATTGCAGTATCTTCGACACTTCGGGTTGCCTCGTTGGGCAGAAAACGTAGTCACCGTATTAAACGGTCGAGAACCAGTTTTAGCAGCCGCTAACACGAGCTATAGGAAACTGAAATAGGGATTCAAAACCGCTAGGTTATGTTCACTAACAACCTAAAAAACATGAGGCGTGTTCAGTCCCTATCATCTTACTGTCACTTCGCAGTCAATAAAATTTCGTTTTTAGCCAAAAGAACCTTGAGGGACTCACAAACCAAGAAGTGCGAACATAATAACCCACGCTCTGCGCTTCTCAAGCTGTCAGTAATTAAAACTGTCAACATCGCTCACGCTTGTAGTACTGGCCGAGACTGTGACCGTGTTGTGAAGTTCTTGAGTCGGTCTCAAGAATAGATTATATGCTTGCGACCAAAATAAGCTTTTCGAACTAAAAGCCGTATAAACGCTTCTGGCCTAAGTATGGGTTTTGATCTCAGAATACAAATTACCTACACGCTCATTGGATTCCACGTATAAAAATGAATAAACAAAGAATAAGTTTTTACACGTATTATTAACCGTATGATTCATTCTATCGGTCATGATGCAAGTATGTTTCAACAATGGGAGGTGTTGGGCTATTTGGTTTGAGATGAACATCTTGAAAAGAAACAGCGACAAAAAACTTGGACAAGAGCAAAGAAATATACACGACAGGACGGCGCTGAGCCGTCCTGTCGTGTACGTTTCTTTACTCTGTCCAAGTTTTTGGCCGCTGTTTCTTCCCAAGATGTTCAAGTATGCTTCGCTCCTGGTTGTCTTTTTTGCCTCTGCTTCACGTCCCGAATTAGTTGTTCGTGTTGTTGCAGTTCTTTTTCTTAATTACTGCAAACGCATTACAAACGAAAGTCTAAAAATAAAGGTTGATGTGTTTTATCCCTTCCTCGCTAATCATTAGGCGGAAGAAGATCCTGGAAAAAAAAAAGATTTTTATCACCTACGTTGCCAAACTGATTTCAAAACTATCTTGAATCTCGCGAGAGCAATTATTTCAGAATTAACTAACATCTAGAATGACAAGAAATAAATAAATCATGACTGTTTTTTATGCATGGCGTAGCAGATTGAATGAGAGCGTAAAGTGCATTGAATTTACTGTCACAGTAACTTGCAAATAAACAACTTCGTCTGACACTGTTTCGTTCCACATTAACGAACAAAACGTCTGACAATCAGCCACTCTTAAAACCTTTCTCAATTTAGTGTTTCAGTTTAAAAGTTGTTTGAGAGAAGGCTGCGTCCAATTTCAAGTTTCTATCTCGAGTAGAAATAATAGTCCTACCTCGTCTAGCATTTTCTGACTTCTCGAGCAGTTCCCGTTTCAATTGTGTATGTTACATGTTGGAAAACGGGTGATTTGATTGACGGACATTCTTAGATACTCTCCTTTTAAAAACATCGGCAAATTATCAATACTCACAGTTAAGTAATCACTACGCGGCTCACCCAACAGTAACATTCCTTTCAATTCAATTTTGGCACTCTTTAACAAGAATGAAAGAGTGATTTGTTTTCTTCTATACTTATATTCAGAACATGGTTACAATTTTATCCTTAAGGGCACACTGCCTCATTTATAAAAACGTGTAATTTCATAAAAGTTTTCTTTTTTTTTCAAATGGGTCAGTTTTAGATTAAGAAAAAAGAGATCCAAGTAAAGGAAATGTGATAGACCACATAATCCGGAAGCGTTTGTAAACCGCAGTTTAAGCATCGCATCTCTTTCCTCGACGCGAAAAAAAAACAATTAGCGGAAGCTTAAAACACACCGCGTTATTTAATCATAGAAACGCGTTGGAAAAAATTATTAGTTCATAATATTTCAAAAAAGTGATTGTGCATGTTTGCTTATAACGGCAAACACCAGTAAACAAATACGTTGTATTGTGCGATATAAGGCCTATCGATGGTCTTAAAATTACACTTTATATTGTGGTTTTTCTTCTCCAGAGACATTTGGGCTTGAGTCGTGGAGTATGCATGAATGGAAGATGTGTAAAGCCTACGGCTAATATGACATCGTCGCTTCCTGAATAAACATGCATAACAGGGGAAAGCTTTCAAGGAGTTTCTGAGAAGCGGCCCAAGAGACTTTACATAACTCTTTGCTTAAAAATCTTTTATAAGTATGTTGCACTGTATACCTAACAGAAACACTAAACCTGTGTTTAATATTAAGGTAATAAAATAAAGTATGAATGGAAAAGTGTGTGTCTAATTGACGCCGGCTGACCCAAGAGGAAGCCTTTTTTGTGACTGCCCGGCAAAGCATTAAAATGTACGTACCTAGAATGCTTCGCAAATTATATAACGAGTAGTCATTTAAGAAAAGGCCCACTGGCATGCCAAGAGATCTTTTGTAGGCTAACATTGGTATCTATACCAACAAAGAGGTGCAGCTCCAAAAATATTGAAGATACTCAAGCTCTAGTTTGTGAGAGAGAACGAAAGAGGGATGCATCCTCGAAGACATGAATATGCAAGGGCAAAACGTCGTTGCCTTTTCCTTGCGAATTTTAAAGATGGTACAAGAACTAATCCCAGGAACGGGATGAGGAACTTTGGTGGGCAATACAGACCTTCAGATGTCACATCTATTCGCCCTGCTCTTGAGGTTTTTCGAACACAACCGACGATATTCCCAGAATATCAACCTTGTTCCTTCAGTTCGTGTTTCTCTCAGGTAATTTCATACTATCTACCAAATTCAGTCCGAACGTAATGGTATATGTACCTACCTCCGGAAAAAATAGGTTATTCCTGCAGCTTAGAACGCTTATTTCGGGGGCTTGAGGCTCCTCTATATTCTATCTTCTAACTTATTTTTTACTTGTGTTTTAAAGCTTTACCAGGTAACTGGCGAGGCCTGGTGCCGTTTTAATGACGCATATACACTCTTAGAAAAAAGGGTACGGATAGTCCTCCCTTACGGGAGGAACGGTCTTGTAACCTATGTTCCTTTAGAAAGGGAGAAACCTTCGTCCCTGAAGCAGGGGAGCAAAGTTCCTCCGTCGCTTGCATCTCAATATGGCGGCCCCGAATCGAGAAAATCGAGCCCAATAAGGCTTGACGAGGACGCTACGTCTCTTGTACGGAACGAGAGGAGCAGCAAATAAGAGCATAACACGAGCTTTCCGCGAACTGTGTTTATTTCCGAAGCCAGATTCCCGCCACAGGCGTTTCGAAAGCAGTTACTCAGTCTTCTCGTCGACACCACTGCGATGTTAAACGGAGACAACCGATACCGGGTTACTTCGTGCACTTTGCGTCTTACCTTTGGTGTTCCTCGAGTCACAATTCCTTCGTCAACCGCACATCACGGAGAAGGGCAAACTCACTCCGCGAAACCAAAAGCCGTTCTCGAAAGAACAAACTCGAAGCAGCTGTTTATCGCGTAGCGTGAAAGAAGGTTAAATCGCTAGCCACCAGATGGCGGGGTCAAGCAGAGTAATTGCAAGTAGCTAGGCTAGGTGGCCGTAGGTACCGCCTAATTCATGTTCTACAAAAAATAATTTGCTTCTCTCAGGCCACTCTGCGCTTGAGGATCCTCTGCTATACACACACCACACCCATTACACTTATCACAAGCATCAGGTGAACATACATTAACACATGCACTGCACATACAAATATCAATACAACAGAACACCACACTAACCCGAACACTACTCCCGTGTTCTGTGTTTCCGTCTTTTATACTGGTCGTTTTAAACGTGCGGAACTTTTCGGTGACTCCCTAAGCAATAAAAAATATTCCCAGCATGCTGATTTTTTCCCAGCAATGTCATACCTCTGAGAGTATTTTGAACGGCTCAGGGGATGAATCTCTTATTAAAAAGTAAACGCTCGATCACGCCGTAATTATTTGAAAGTAATAAATCAAACCGCTCCAATGCGGTTCGAAGTCATGAGTTTGTTTCCCCGCACGGAGCGTCGTAGCCTGTATTTCTATTGTAGTGTTTGTTTTTCTATTTGTGCTGTTCGCGCAAAGCTGCAATTGCCGTCTTGAATTAATCTCTGTAGAGCGGATATTCACTCAGCTGGAAGTGATGCTTCACGGGCTGAGAAATCGCTTTTCGATCAACTTGAATGCAGTCAAAGCCGCGACTTGCGGCAGGTGTTAAGTGTACGGAGCTACGCCGTGGTGAGCCCCAAAACTTCTAGCGCTCATCCAAGCGTGCCACTTAGAGGGCAGTTTCTCCAGGAACCGTAGTATATATTTAAACAGCAAAATAAATGGTAGCTTTTTTTTTTCTCGATTTTACCTACTATTGTTTTTTAATGCTAAAATTCCACACTGTAAATATACGTACTTTCCGTCACGATTTCGTACTGTTGTCCTTGCCCCAGAGCGCAATCGCTCTCGGGGACAATACAACCAACAGTCACATTGGCCACTGTACGATAGGAGCCTATACTGCTCAGACCAGCGTTCCAACATGACTATCCGCACGTTGATCGATTGCACGTAATCCCTCAAGCTGTATTAAACTTTTTAATGTAAAGCAGAATGTCAAACTGCGACACTCTGCCCCCTCCGATCACGGCCCGACCAGCGGCATCAATGCCCGACCGTTTACGATCTCCTCTTGTTGTTACACCACTGATACGCGAACACACGGTCACATCGCTGATAATTCCAGTCTTCCGTTCACAACCCACAACACTGCCATCACGATGTTTCAGCTATGTTGCTGACACGCAGAAACACAGAACCACGTTGAACGCCGGTTGCACTCGGCATCGGAAAACAGAACCGAACTCAGAAGGGAAGGCACCCAGGCAGCCGGCAGCAACACCTGCCTTTCTTGGACACAGTTCCTGCGGTTTCCATAACGTCGAAAACGTCGACACAGGTCCGCGTGCTTTCGCTACTGTAGTCTGCAGTGCTGCAGTGGCTGTAGTTCCGGTAGTTCCGTGCCGTGCGAGTCAAACAATCCGGAGACGGCCATTCCCCAGTGTAGGTGGCACTGCTGGCACTGTTCCGGAACTTCGCTGTTTCTAGCGGCTTCGTTTGCTCGTTTGATAAAATTAGTGATAAAAACGTCAATGCATCCGAAATGTTCTGCACGTTTAGACTAGAAGACGGAATTACAGGCGGCCTTCGCTGCTGCTGAAGCTCAATCAACTCAACAGCTATTTATTAAACAAAGTGCGCGACCTGCTCGAGAAACGAAACCGAAAGACGATGAGTCGGGAGGGCGGAAGCTTTCACCCGTCTGCCTGGAGAAGGAGAAAAAAGTTTCGTTCCTCCCCTTTTCACGTGTCCGCTTGGGGGCGCGTCGGTAGAAGGGAGGAAGAGGCGCCGTTGCTACTTTTTTCCTCCATTTTTTCTTAGAGTGTAGCTAGCAGAAAATTCGAGCAGAGTCGCGGGAGCTAGACCGCATACAGGATGTTTTTTTTTAAGATATTTGTTTGGAAAACACTTCTTATGAGTTGTGAATGCAAAAGCATGCCACCTGCGACGTATTGCTTAGGCCTCGCATTGTCGAAGCGCCTGGTCCTCCTGCCGTCTGCGATGCTTTGAATCAAAATCTGCTTGCGCCACCCGACGGCCGAGCACGCGCTCTCGTGAAATGGCCGCGCCACGTTGAGCTCGGCCGTGCAACCACTCCGGAGCCTCCCCGTGCGAGCTCTGCTGGCACGGCCGGCCAGCCGCTCCCTCTCACCGGCGGTCGGGCAGCTGCGCAGCCATAGAGATGGCTTCTCTGGTGGCGTTCCTTGGAACTACGCCGCGCGAGAGCCAATGGGAGCCGATCGCTGCTTGAAACTGTGACGCGCGCCAGCCAATGGGAGCTCATCCATCAGATTGCTGCTACACCCTGAAAAAAGCCCGTGCGTCTGCTCTCCCGCACAACACTCGGAGAGCCAATCACCTCAGCTTACGGAGGCAGCTCAGCGAATGGCGATGCCGAAACATATGTTTAGACTAAAAAACGCAGTCCGAGTTGTGACATTAAGCAATGCAAAACGTCACGCTTGCATTGCTTAATGTCACAACTCAGACTGCGATTTTTTTGGTCTAAACATATGTTTTGGCATCGTGATTCGCTGAGCTGCCTCTGTAAGTTGCGGTGATTGGCTCTCCAAGTGTTGTGCGGGGAAAGCAGACGCATGGGCTTTTTTTAGAGTGTAGAGAAGACAGGGGAGTTTAGGGGCTGTTCGGCGCGGCTTTAAAAGCTGATAACGCCGGTTCGTTTCATGGGAGAGTTAATGCTTTCGCACTAAAACGCCGTAGAAGCTCCAATGATACGGTTTGTGCAGGTGAGTTATCGGTCTGGGCGACATATGTAGAGGAATACTCGTCACGATAATTTGGTTAATTACCTAATTTTTGTTAATTACATATTAATTAGTGTAGATAAAGATATGGTTCCAATTTCAAACCTGCTAAGGGTAATAAACCACCACGTTATAAGTACATTTTAGAAAAAAATGCGGTGCGTAGGAAGCGGGGTGGTGCAAAAACAAAAACGCGCCCGCGCTGTTTTTCCGTCTCTTTTTTAAGCGTTCCTTATCGCCGGTACGGCACCACTTGCAAAAGTGTTAACTTTAGCACACCTATGTGTTTCCCCCCGCTCGAAATCTTTCTGAAATTTACTTGCTTAGTTTTTATTATGCCACTCAGCAAGTTTCTTTTTTGAAATCATATGTATATTGTACTAATTAAAACTAATTAACAAATAAACCAAAGCGCTTGATATTATGAGTGTACTGTAAATGGCCTATTAACATAATCACGAAATTATATTACATACCCCCAAAGTTTCCAATGTGTCATCATGTCACAAAAACGCAGAAACTCAGAATAAAAGAACTGACCAGCGCCTTTTTATGGGTTGCAAGACAGTAAACAACTTCCTTTGTTTTATTTCTTTTTTTTTATGGAATCTTAAAATTCGACTATTGGCGAGGAGCTCTAACTTTACGTTTCGCTACGTCCACCTTGTATTTTCCAGTGTTCTGTGTTTACCAACACGAGGCACGGGCACTCAATTCTTTAATTTGTCTTTCTCGATGGAGCTCGGCGCAATGATTGGGCCAGACTCGTGTCCTATTTTGTTTTCTTTTCTTTTTTTTTTGCGTCCACGTTTGGTTACACTGAGTGAACAGGAGCCCCATCCGAACTCTGACGCAACGCTCGGTCGGCCACGTGAGTCGAGCGCTGCATCAGGGCACAAACAAATAATCTATGGTGTTTTTGTC